ATGTGTATACTACTGCCAATCATATGTAAAAAATGAATACAATACCTATACTCTATACTGGTAAATATATATAAAAAACATGAATAAAAATAATAAATGAATATAGCCAAATACAACTTATCTGTATAAAATGAAAATCAATATGAGTAGATTTTGTTTTTGAATTGTATCATTTATGTAACTATTGTATAGGTCTTCGTGATCGTAGTATACTTCAAGTCAACTGTTGTGATAATAACAGTATTAAGGATATTGATGAAGTGAATAAAACTTCTACTAATCAATGTTAGTCATAGTAAACAATATTAATTTTTTATACCTAGAAGAATTGCAAATATAATATAATTGCTTTTATCATCGTTGCTGTTATTATTCTTGTGATAATTATAGTAATCATATTATTATTATCTTTATTATTGTTATCATTATCAATGTTATTATTATCATAATTATCATTATTGTTATTTTCGTTACTAATACTATCTACTGTTTTCATGTATATAATCTTGATTATAATTTAGCTACTTTTTGTCATTCTTCTTGATAGTAATAACACTAATGATGATAACTTAGTGATTATATTGAAATCAAGAATGTTAACGACAAAGATGGCATTATATTGAGATTGCCATTACTATTACAGTTATTGCAAATGCCATTATCATCCTATTGCAGTAGTACTGAAAGAAGATAGCAGGTGTTTTATCATTACTGGCGTTGATGATGCTCCTATTATTTTCTGTTTATCATCTGCATTGATGATCTATTAAGTTTTCGGTAATTGCAATGATAATGTTGTAGTATAATGATTAAATATTACATATTTATGATAATTCATTGAGTTGTTATATCATATTGCTTTATCAACTGATCGTCACATAAAATGCATACACATACACCCATACGCGCATTTGTATACTTGTAAGCATAAATGTACACGAATATCAATACAAAGCAACGCCACACACACACACACATATATATATATATGTCTGTGTGTGTGTGTGTGTGTGCGTGTGCATAACTGTAACTATATGTATGTTATTTTGACTTACAGGTGATTTTGACTGCCCTTGTGGGGCTGACGGTATCGGCCAAACTTGGGAACCTCCACCACTCTCATGAGGGGGCAGTACGTGTAAACACTCGCACGGGATCCATCGTCCACACCGAATTCGGAGCAAGTGGTTCTCAAAGCCCAGCTGCAGTTACAGGATCATATTCGTAAGTATTATTAGTATATTTTTCGTTCAATAAACTTGAAATTCAGCATCTATTTCTATCTAACTGTGCGTCTGTCTCGTTCGTTTTATCTAAGCAATGCCTTATCTCCAACAGATTTACCGCTCCTAACGGGGAGACGCACACTGTTGAATATGTTGCTGACGAGAAAGGTTTCCGGCCAGTGATTCGCCGTACGTCTACCTCATCCTTCTCTTCCCAATCGAGTGGTGGCTCACAGGCCTTTGGAGCAGGAGCCGTAAGATCTGGCTCGTCTGGTGTTAAATTTGGGCAGGTATCATCCGGCTTTGTAAGCAACACAGCAGCTCAAGCCCCAAGCTCTTTTGATGCTTCTGACTTTTCTAACGAAGTGTCTAGTGTTGAAAATGTTGTATCAAATAAACAGTCCACTAGCTCTTCCTTCTTTGCCGGATCCACCGGAAATGCAGCAGGAATCTCATCTGGTGCAGGATTCTCGTCTGGTTCTGGCTCTTCAAGCAGATTCTCTTCTGGTTCTGCCACCGCTACCTCTGCAGGAAATGCTGGGGAGAATGTAGCAGTTATCTTGGCAGGTCAGGGTCTTCCAGCTGGAGTTACTCGTGGTCAGGCAGCTTTCCAGACTGCATCTTTAGCTGCCAATACGGCCTCTGGAAACGCAGCATCTACATTTACTTCTGGTTCTTCTGGATCCTCTGGCTCAAGATTGACTTCTGGTGTGTCAGCGGGAACCTCTGGCTCTAGATTTACTTCTGGTTCATCTACTGGATCAAGGTTCACATCTGGCTCTTCAGCTGGATCTTCTGGTTCAAGGATTACTTCTAGCTCTTCAGCTGGATCTTCTGGTTCAAGGTTTACTTCTAGCTCTTCAGCTGGATCATCTGGTTCAAGGTTCACTTCTGGCTCATCAACCAAGATCCAAGCAGGAAAGGTTGGTGACAGTGTATCAGTTATCCTAGCAGGACAGGGTATCCCAGCTGGAGTCACTCGTGGCCAGGCAGCCTTCCAGGTTGCAGCAGTTGGTATTAATGCTGCCTCTGGAGCTTCAGGAAACAGGGGAGCTAGCTTCACCTCTGGATCAACCTTTTCTTCTGATTCCTCTGCCGAAACTAGCTTCTCCGCTGGCTCTGCCGAAACTAGCTTCTCCGCTGGCTCTGCCGAAACCACAGGATCTCAGTTCACATCCTCTGCTGGTACTTCCTCAGGATCATCTTCCACTTTCACTTCTGGATCCACATCTGGTGCCACAACTGGATTCTCCTCTGGATCCTCTGCTTCCACCTTTGCAGGAAATGATGGCGAAAGTGTTGCAGTAATTTTGGCTGGAAACACTGTGCCAACAGGAGTCACTCGTGGTCAGATCCAGGTTTCTGTCCCTGCTACCAGCACCTCTGGAATCAGTTCTGGCTCAACCTTTACATCTGGTTCCAGTTTCAATGCTGGATCCACTAGTGGAGTAACATCAACTGGTTCCTCTGCTGGTCTATCTGGTTCTAGGTTTACCTCTGGTTCATCCTCTGGATCATCTGGTTCTAGGTTTACCTCTGGTTCATCCTCTGGATCAGCTGGCTCTGGCTTGACTTCTGGCTCATCTGGTTCTGCCTTCACCGCTGGCTTGTCTGCTGGCTCATCTGGTTCCAGATTTACCTCAGGTGCATCTACTGGGTCCACTACATCTTCATTTACCTCTGGTACATCGACCAAGATTCACGCCGGAAAGGTTGGTGACAGTGTTGCAGTTATCCTAGCAGGACAGGGTATCCCAGCTGGAGTCACTCGTGGCCAGGCAGCCTTCCAGGTTGCAGCAGTTGGTGCTAATGCTGCCTCTGGAGCTTCAGGAAACAGGGGAGCTAGCTTCACCTCTGGATCAACCTTTTCTTCTGATTCCTCTGCCGAAACTAGCTTCTCCGCTGGCTCTGCCGAAACTACAGGATCTCAGTTCACATCCTCTGCTGGTACTTCCTCAGGATCATCTTCCACTTTCACTTCTGGATCCACATCTGGTGCCACAACTGGATTCTCCTCCGGATCTTCTGCTTCCACCTTTGCAGGAAATAATGGCGAAAGTGTTGCAGTAATTTTGGCTGGAAACACTGTGCCAACAGGAGTCACTCGTGGTCAGATCCAGGTTTCTGTCCCTGCTACCAGCACCTCTGGAATCAGTTCTGGCTCAACCTTTACATCTGGTTCCAGTTTCAATGCTGGATCCACTAGTGGAGTAACATCAACTGGTTCCTCTGCTGGTCTATCTGGTTCTAGTCTGGTGGGTTCCTCTGGTTCATCCTCTGGATCATCTGGTTCTAGGTTCACATCTGGCACATCAGCTGGATCCTCAGGTTCCAGATTTACTTCTGGCTCAACAACTGGATCCACTACATTTACATCTGGCACATCAACCAAGATTCATGCAGGAAAGGTCGGTGAGAGTGTGGCAGTGATTCTGGCTGGTCAGGGCCTTCCTGCAGGAGTTACCCGTGGTCAAGCAGCTTTCCAGACATCATCACTTGCTGCTAATACTGCTTCAGGAATCTCCTCTGGTAATGCTGGTTCAAGGTTCACTTCAGGAGCAACTACATCTGACTCCTCTGCTGAATCTAGTTTCTCTTCAGGATCAACCAGCACCACTGGATCTAAATTTACATCAGCTTCTATTGGATCATCAATTGGTTCAACATCATCTTCAGGTTCCACCGCTGGATCTTCTGGATTTACTTCTGGCTCCTCAGCTGGATCCTCTGGTTCCCGATTCACCTCTGTCTCATCTACTGGATCCAGAACATCCTCTGTTTCTGGCACATCAACCAAGACCATCAGTGGAAATGCTGGTGAGAGCGTGGCAGTGATTCTGGCTGGACAGGGTATCCCATCTGGAGTTACACGTGGTCAGGCAGCTTTCCAGGTTGCTGGAGTAAATACTGCTTCTGGAGTCTCTTCTGGAAATGCTGTTAAATCTAGCTTTCTTTCTGGGTCCACTGGCACCACAGGGTCTAAATTTACATCTACCGGATCATCAGCTGGACTGACATCCTCTGCTGGATCATCTGGTTCAAGATTCACCTCTGGCTCATCTACCGGATCCACCACATTTACAAGCACATCGACCAAGACTGTTGGAGGAAATGCTGGAGATAGTGTATCAGTAATTTTGGCAGGTCAGGGCCTTCCTGCAGGTGTTACTCGTGGCCAGGCAGCTTACCAAATCTCATCAGCTTCAGTCACAGGTAACTCAGGAAGCAGGAGTGGTTTTTCCCAAAACACAGGTTCCTCTTCTAGATTCTCGTCTGCTGCTGGATCTGCAGGTATTAGGTCATCCACAGGATCTAGCGCTGTAAGATCAAGCTTAGTAAATAGCGGCAGACTAGCCACCAAAGTGTCTTCTAGTTCATCAAAAACATCTGGAGGTTCATTTGTGACAGGCAATAGAGTCAGTTCTCAAAGAACATCCACTAACAGAGCTGGTGTTCGCAACCCCATTCCTGATGTAAAGAGCGTTGCTGTACTTCTTGCTAAACCTGGTCAACTTTAAGTTGAAGCTCTAAAGATATCAACACAGGAGCAAATGCAAGCTGACAGTAGACTCTTGTGCACTGAGATGATATTGTTTCAAGATGGACAAGTACAAATTGCTGACATATCCTTTTGGGAAAGTGTATATTTTAAATGTTCCTAGTTTTTTGTTATTTTCTAGCTCTGTTACTAATGAAATAGTTGTATACAAAGATAAGTGCTCATTGATAAGTGTATATGCGCTGTTGTTATGTAAATAAATACAAGAAATCGAATTATTTTCTCTAAAGTTCCTGCAACACTTATATGAAATAAATGAACAGAAATAATAACAGAAAAGAAGGACACAGTAATTGGAATCTCTTAATGCTAATATGCTTAGATATGAAAAAAAAGATACACACATATATGCAGTATATACATACATACATACACACACACACACACACGCACGCACGCACGCACACACACACACACACACACACACACCACACACACACACACACACACACACACACACACACACAACATATATATATATAATTATATATATATATATATATATATATATATATATAAATACACACACACAGACACATATATACATATATTATAATATATATATATATATATATATATATATATATATATATATATATATATATATATATATAATGCATACACATATACAAATATTAGAAACACACATTGACATATATAGATAGAAATGAATATATAATAATATATATAATTATATATAATATATATATATATATATATATATATATATATATATATATATATATATATATATATATATATATATTATATACTCATACACACGCGCGTGCGCGCGCGCTAGCTATGTATGTATGTATGTATGTTCGCATGCATACATGCAAAAACACATACATGCACACATATATGCATATATATGTATGAATGTGTATATACATCGTCCTAGATTTTATTTCCCCGATGCGGGTGTCCACGATCGTTTGCCAGTCTTACGCTGCCTATTTTTTCTTCAGTTCATTTTTGCTGCATGCGTGTGGCCAGTACTCTTTTGTTGGTCACAGTACACGTCTCTATCTTTGCTATTTGTCCATATATTTTATATTTCTTCGGAGTTTCATTAGCCATTAAAGGAAAAATAGAATATTGCAAAGCTTAATTTTCATGAATTTTGCACGTATGGCATTAATTCTACTCGAAAATTAAAGAATTTAGACGTTATCCTTTCGACAAGAACAAAAAAACAAAGCATTTTTCCTTTATCACAAATGGATAGCAAAGCATTATTTCTGGTATAATGAATAGAAAATAAACTTACACTTGCTCTATTGGTGGGGAACATGGTACTGTATGTCCTTTAATGAAATAACGAAGGTCTGGAGAGGACAGCGCACATCGAGAATCATCATCTGCGTCTTTCAGCTGATTCCTAATCTTGGTTTCCATCCAAACTACAGCCGAATAACAGTAAAGGGTTTATTTTATATTTATCATTATTAATGCTTACATTAGGTATTTTTTGTCATTTACCAACTCATTAAAAAAAAAATATTGCTTTTACAAAGTACCCTCCCCCAGGAACGCCTTAATTACAACCAGTTTGAGAATCACTGCAAAGTATTTCCCATTATTATACCTACCACTTGAGTCGTATCTTCTCGTTGGTTTAATAAAGAGAGTCGGTGGTAAGCAGCACCCTTGTCGTATGCCAGCAATGATCAGATAGTTTGGTTTTTCATTTACTTAGGACAAAATTTTACCCCACACCTGATTCTGCTAGTGCACCTAATGTGGCTTTTCTAGATACCCGATACTACTACTTTATGCCTGCTAACATTTTTTTCTCTTGTAGCAACAGATACATTTTTAACTCATTTTCCCGGAACAAATTCAGAACTGAACTGTTCTCATTGAAATTCTTGTTCGACCAAGGTTAAGAAACAAATGTTTATTTTTTTCCTGTGATGTTAATTAAGAAGATAATCAAAAGACCCTGCACCTTATTTTGCAGATTTCAACATATGTTTATTGTTTTATATCTGCATGATGTTTTTTTTGATTCTGTGTTTTGCGCTAATTATTGTTTATGTTTAGTCGTTTTGTCTGTTAGATCTTATGAGTAAAGTATTATTAAATCTTTATTTACCATTTCTTGTCAGTCTCTATTCACATTTAAAGGAAGTATTTCAGTAGATCTTTCCTGCTCTCTGTTCACCAAAGAATAAGTTATAAATCCTACTAAAAGCAGTTCCGTCCTCACAGGTTAAATGCAGTGAAATGATCAGAAGTATAAATGGAGTTGAATATTTATATATTGTTAAGAATGGACAATGAATTTATTTGAGCATTCATGACTCTTACAACACCACAATCCCTATCAATCCTTCATTATGAATCTGAATCAATGCCCCCATTTAGTGGTCCTAGAGTTCTGCCTGAAACAAGCTCAAGATTGGTATAAATAAACCAGAAATTGGACATACCAATACAAAGTAAAATAACCAGCTCCATGAATCTAGACTCAATGCCCCTCATTAGGGTCCTAGAGTCTGCCTGAAACCAGCTCAAGGATGGAAAATAACCAGATTTGGACACCATACCAGATGAACTCAACGGAGTTTGAGATTATAATTATTCTCTGCTGTCAGCTGATCAGAGGAAGACCAGACACTGGCTTACTGTTTCAGGTATTTGTTTTGTTGCATAAATGTGGGAATATAAAAAAGACGATTATATAATCAGTTAATTACTATATTTATA